AGTTTTTTTCTTAGATTTTTGGTAACATGGGGCAGCTACAACATTCATTTATTATATGTTGTACCATAATTTCTTATAGTTGATGTGTGCTTGTTTAAATTTATTCTGGAATATAAACCTTTAAAATTTCATTTTATATAATTCTTGTAAATTTTTCGGAATAATTTTACCTAGTAAGTATTGTTCTCATTCATAGCTGTCCATATTAGACTTTCTCATGAATAGAACGAATATCTAATTCAATATGTTTACAACAAAAACGTTGGATTGTTATAAGTAACACTAATATTATTACACAGTAAAGTAGATATAGACTTTGTGTTCATAGGAAACTGAAGTTCATTAAGTAAGTTATTAATCCAAGTCATTTTAGCAACAGCAGAAGCCACAACACAATGATCTTCTTCAACACTAGAACGTGGAAGACAGCAGGTTTTTCCTTGGCACTCCAAGAAGATAATTGGATCTAAGAAAATTCAATATTCAGTTGTTGAGAGACGACACCAGCCGTAATCATCAGAATATCTTATGAGCTGATCATGTGCAACTACTTAAAAGTGCATGTCTTTGGTATGCTTGGTTGACTGAGAAATAGAGCTTTAGGTGAGTGGAAGTAAGATACAGCAGCTTTTTCATCATGTTGTCGAACACCTCCAGCAGCTTGACACCAGGGGTTCTGCCAGCACCTGCAACTATTCATGCAAGGTACTTGACCTTGTTCCTTAAACCCCTCATTATACACACACACATTTATTAGTTATTCACACTCTTTCATCTCAATTTCATCTAGTCTTTTTTTAAGTATAAATTATCAGAGAGGGAAATAGAATGATGATGAAGATGTTGAAGAATGGGAATGAGCAAAAGATGTTGCAGATGATGAGGATGGTAATAATGATATAATAGTAATAATGGGTTGCTGGTGAGTATTAATGTTTTTCACAGTATTGGGCTGTAAAATTCATACTGACAAGACATTATTTTGCTTTTTTGCTCAATTTCTAAGCTAAAAAGAAAAAGAAAACAGAATTTACGCATTCAACGTGTGTCAGTGCAGGTAAAAAAATGAACCATACACACTATGTTATGGCGGGGGGAGAATGAGGAAGATAATCTGCAAATTTGATATGATCCAAAATCAATTCAAAAAAAATAACCTGAGACAGGTTCAAATTTAGTACACTAGAGATTAGGAGGGTTCAGCTTCGGTAATACCCTCCCGGAACCTAGTTTTGGGTCTTGTCACAAGAATATAAAGACAGCAAGTTTTAACTTTGTCAAGATTTAGTATATTTTTCTTAAATGTTAGTTGAAAATATTTTAATATTATTTAAGTCGTGGCCCAACCCTTTCTTAGTAAGCCATGACAAGAGCACACATGTACTTAATTCAAAATAACATAACTTTCATTAACTTAAAAAGTGTGTAAAAGCATTCCATCCATTATATATATACAACAGATACATACAATATAAGTATTCAAATTAGTAACCTGATTTTAAAGTCTAACTTCAAAAACTTTCTTCCTTCGTATCATTATTTATTCTACAACAGTCTTTTTAATATCTAAAAAATAATAACAGGGGTGAAATTCATAATCCTAATTGGCAGATATTATGACAACACAGCTGATACATTCAATATATATAACTTTTCACAGACATTGAAAATACATATATTATATAGTTTAAAAAATTAGATCAAAAACACATGTATCTTGTACATTTTTAAAAACTAGATTCACAATTCAGAAAACTAATTCACAAATATAAATATTTATATTACACAGCATGGACACATTGCTGTATTGTACAATGAGTCATACTTCATTACTGTTATAGCAGTCGATCACATAATCCTACCGCATCATGTGTAAGCACAAATATGTGTCATATACGTACTAAATCACATAGTAGATATAGTATCAGATCACATAATAGGTACATTATACATACATATGTACTAGATCATATAATAAGTATACAAATCACGTTAATTCCTAATATAATATAGGTACTTTCAGAACAGGTCGCCTTTATAATACGTGATGCACACAGACGAGTTATTTTCAAAATACTTTTCACAAAAAAACTTGATTCAAAATTTTTTTTTTGATTAAATATATATTATTAACAATCAAAATTAATCATATACTAAAAGTAGGATAACATATTGTAAAAATATATATGCTAATATTATAAAAAAATTCACTTAACTTAATCCTTTAAGAAACATGTTGCAAATTTTTCCTCGTTACTATCAACTTAACTATTTACTCGGATGAAGTCTCCCTTTATAAATTATCTTAATTTGTTTTTATTTAGTTTTATTATTTTATATAAATCATCAATTTTTTTTTAATATTATACAAATTTTCTAAAATAAATAAAAATTTTATATAAAATAAAAAAAATAAAAATTATAAAAGGTCAGTTATAAAATAATTACTAAAATTAAATACGAGAATTAAATTTCAATAAAATCAGATTATATGGAAAATAAATTTTTTATAGGCATATTTTTCTCATAATTACAAAACCTAACAAAATAGTTTCTTCTCTGAGTGATTCCTCAATTTCCAACTAATTGGAGCTCCGGCGAGGGTTTTTTCTGTAATCTTTTGATAGGTTGCTGAGGCTTATGGATTTGAGGAGACTGGCGAGCGTGCTGGTGGTGACGGTGGTTTTGGTGATCCACGTCGGCGGCGAAGTTGCTCGTGCCAACATTCTGTTCCGAGTGCAGAACAAGTTCGCTGGACGAAATAGGAGTCTGGATGCTCTCAAAGCTCATGATGCCCACCGTCAAGCGAGAATCCTGTCCGCCGTCGATCTCCCTCTCGGTGGCGATAGCCTTGTGGAGTCTACTGGGTTTGTTCTATTACCTTATTCCTTTCTCTTCTCTTTAGTTTCTGATTTTCAGTTCTCATTTTTTCATGGTTATGGAAGTAGAACAAGTAGAAGAAGTGTTTTCCTTTTAAATAGAGAGATTTTAGTGTTAAAAATTAATTTGTCTCCTTAGGAATTTGGGAAAAATTCGTAGACACCATAGACGAGAAAGGTCTGTAACATTGCTTTGAAGGACGTGAAAGCATTAGATAATCAGAAAATTTGAGAAATTCGTAAAGTAATTTATTGAATAATTAAATTAAAAATATATTTATTATTTTTACTACCTAACTTTTATTGAATAGGATTAAATTAAAAAAATAATATAGTTAATAAAATTGAGAATATTACTCCTGATAAGATTGGAAAATTTAATGATTAAGAATAATATTAATAAAATAGGACATTCTACTAATATAAATAAAAAAACTAAATGTTAACAATAATAAAATCCTAAAGTACTGACTATAATACTAAGCTCCAAAATAATATAGTCGTTTTATATTTAATAGGATCATATTTGTAATCTAGTTAGGTAATATATAACTAGTCTATTATGCATTATTCTCTCTTAAGTGGAGAAAATTCGTTCGCGAATGATGTAAAACATTGGTCGTTGAGCTTTTCCATAAAAACTTTTTCAAGGCTTTCTGGTTGGTCGCTCTCTCCAATACACAAAATAATAGAAAAACACAATTGTTAAGTACTGTGAAGTCCTGGCAGAAGAATGAAATTAACATATGGTGTGTGAAACTCAATGTTGCTTGGAATGGAATATTTCAAATATTCTTCCACATCAAGAACAACTTGGTAATTTTGGGCTGTAGTTGTAGGAGGTTGCCGAATTAACTCTTTTTAGTATTATCTCTTAATGTTGCATCTTCTACCAACTAATTCTAAAATTTTAATTTTTTAAACTTTTGTGCTCACTCGATTATTGACATATCGGCCTGAAGTAAAGTGTAAGCTTGATCAAGAAATTTGTCAAAGAAGTTGGGAGGTAAATATTTTTAACAGGAAATCCTTTGTGCATGTGACATGGTATATTAATTGAAATATTCTTCCATTGAGTTAAGCAACTCGAGGAAGACATGTTGCTCTCTTGTCCCATCAAAATTAGGAGTTTTAACCTTTATCTTCTTGGTAATATCTCTAATATTGTCTTCAGCATGTCTTGACTTGTGCAACTTGCAACTTTGGAATGGTGGAGCTACTGCAAGTGTCTTAATTCTTCCAAAATTGCGTTAACTATGTTTTGCATTGTCTCTGGTCTGGTATTAATTTTTGCCTTGTATGAATGTTCACTAGGATTCAGTGTTAGTCACTATTATTGAATCTGATTTTTTTTTAACTAGCAATATCAGTTTGTTTCTAGTGAGATCGATCACGAGAGTCAATATAGTCAAACTTGGATATAAGGGTACTCAAATGCAGTTGATTTTGCTGCTTGCAGTTGCTTGTGTATGTGGCTCACATGCCACCTTTCAGTCACTAGGCAATAGTGAGTTTCGATCAATCAACTTGATTAGAGGTGGCATTGCAGATTAAAGGTTGGTG